GTGATTCTGTGATTCTGTGATTCTGTAAGTGAAAACTGGCAGAAGTCAATCTGTGTAATTGGAGAACTCCTATAAGAACGTGAAAATTGATCTTTTATACCCGATAGAAGGCTAGATCCCTGGTAGGCTGGTACTTTTGGCAGAAACCATCCTGTCCCCTTATGTTTATACACCAGAAAGGATTTGGGGTTATTCCTGAGTATCTAAGCTGCATTAGTCCCTAGAAGCATTTCAGGTATCAGGTTTGTACAAACACAAGACAAAACTGTTTCTGCCCCAGAACGCCTTCAGTTTAAGTATGAGAAGTGATTTACTTATTATTCCTCTCCTCCTTTGATTTTTTTCGGGGGGCTTTTCAAGGTTCCTTGATGAAGTTCAGGCTCACTCAAGCATTAACAAGATGAGTGTCCAGAATCTGGCTACAGTATTTGGACCAAATATATTACGGCCCAAAATGGAAGATCCAGTGACCATGATGGAAGGTAGGTACTACTCTTGTGAGATAACATACCACCTGTGTTTTTGGAGCTGTGAGAGTATGCTGAAAGTCATACATTCGTAGGTACCTGTATCACTTGACTGCACAGTCAGCAACAAGTCAAACAACCCCTTTCATCAGCGCCTGTGAAGGGATATACCACTTGGCCTCTGCTGTCCCACTCATGACTGGCCTGGGAGCATTTCTCCTCTCCACCACATGGAAATGCCTCTGCCCTGTTGTAAATTATTATGTGAAACTCTTTTTTGAACCCACCGCTAAAATGAAAGCTGGAATGTTCTTCAGAAGGACCATGTTTAAGTACCAAACTGCTGTCATTTAGTTTTGGTGCATTTCAGTGGTTAGACAGCTCCCTGTAAAGCACATCCAGTCCACAGTGAAAGAGGCACTGTAGTTTTTTCTGTGCCACAGTGACGATAACTAGGTGTCTTGGAAGTGTTGTCTTCTAAGCAGGCTGTGTATAGGTCAGAACTTCACAGAACCCAAGGAATAAGTTGAAAATCACTGTTAATTTGGGATGTAAAAATCTGAAGCTTGAAAATTATCTACCTCTGTACGGGTCAGGAAATGGCCAGGGCATGATCTCTCAATGGCTGACAGTAGGGCTGGGATACTGCCCCTCTGCCAGGTGGCACTGGAACATAACTACTGTGGTGCAAGCTTTAGCAGGGTCTTTGCATCAAGTTTTGTGGGATCTTGTCAAGCCTGCAAAAAGAACCAATGGATTCATCCAGCATTAGGTACAGATGGAGATGTCCAGGATGTCTGAACTCAGCCCTGACACTGCTACCTGGCTGTTGGGACAGCTGACGTGGTGTCCTGCATGATGGAAATCCTTCACACAACGCCAGCATTATCATGCCTTAGCAGCAGCAACGCCTTTAGCTCTGCACAAGTGACCTCTGAAAGGCACTGCAGATGTGTGCCCCACAGAGGGCAACTCACTACGAGGTACAGGTCAACTTCAGAGCGTGGCCCAATGTGTTATAATTGTTCAGGGACTTGAAGCCTGGCACAGAGATGTGGGGCATATTATTATGGGTAGCTTTGCGACCCCATCGAAGATTTAGAAGATACAAAAATGTGGGGAGGAGAAAAAGGGAGTGCAGGAGCAGATGCTGGGTTATTCAACATCACAAAGGTGCGGATAGCTGAAACCTCGACCTGTTGTGTGATGCTGTGACTTCCCCTAGTGGCCAGTTAGCCCCCGTTGACACGGCTCTTGCAGCATTGGCCAGCAACATGCTTTTTGTTTAGTTGGTACAGATGACAAGTTTGGGTTCAGTTCACCTCAAGCACGTAATGATGCAGTTCAGCTGATGGCAGAGGTGCTTGTACTGTGTATAGGTGCACAGGTGCCACAGATGCTGTGATCTCATGGTCTCCTAATCATGTGAAAATATGGTAGTGACATGACCTGGAATTCTGTATCAGCACAGACCTGAACTGTAGAAAAATGGGGATCCAGAGACTGGATTTTTAGACTTATTCATTACACTTATAAGCAACAGGACTGGGAACGTTTTGTTTTATTGTTAGTTGAGGATAGAAGAATGGTTAAATAGAAATAATGGAGAAGTGGACTCTCAATAATTTTTTTCTAGTGTTACAGTAATACGGATCTGCTAAATCAACTGCTAAAGAAAAATACAGCTGCCAGTTCTTAACAAAAAGCACTTTAATTGTGTCTCTCTTCAAATCTAAACCATGATTTTCAAATATAAATATCTGAAATTTGACAGCTAAATTTATCTCCAGATATTTATTTATCTCCAGAGAGGTTTATTTCTCTTCCTGCACTCACAGACATAAAATAGATATAGGTGAGCTCAGTAACTCTTGCTATCAGGCTGAAACCTCATTATTAAATTCCGGCTCTTATCTTGAACCCCTGAATATGTTAGTCTTACTCTATTTCTGACAATGACTGAAGATAGAATTAATTACATATTTGCTCTTTTTAAGGTTTTCTTCTTCTGTAGGAAGTTCTTTGTATTTGGTTTGGTAAGTGTAAGTGGTGTTCTTTACTAGTTCATAATGGTGTACTCCACTACTGGAGAACGACAACTCATTTCTGTGGATTTAAGTAACTGCAAGTATTTTCTCTACTTGCTGTACACCTTCTGCAGCTGCATGTATAATACAGCTGTGATACTTTCTGCAAGTTTCTCTATGCACTGAGAGCAGCAGAAGGCCTGTGGTGAAATTTTTGTTTCTTCAATAAACACTAGTTCTGGGCCCGTTAAGGCTATGAAACTGAGTGAAACGTAGTTGTGGAAACCTGATGGTTTTGGAAGCCAGAGAGAGAGGTGCTCCATCCCAGCAAATAGGCTAGTGTATTCAGGATCCAGGATGCATCTCTGCACAGGGCTGTCCTGCATGGATGTACACACCAATTGATGCTGGCTCTGAACTCCATGCCTTGCTGTGGTACAGACATGCCCCGTTTTCCAGGTGTCCTCCTCTGTCATCCTCAGAGATGTCCTTAAGCAGGCCAGTTTGTCACTGCTAGTGATCATTTGTACTCTTTGATAGTCAGCTACATTCATGAGTTGGACTGACATCTGCATCCTTCACAGTCCCCATTTCCAGCAAAGGGAATGACTCCTGCCTCTTGCAGTCCTGTACAAAAAGGCCCAGACAGTTGTTTGTGCAGACCCATCAAAGTGCATTGTGGCCACAGGCCGTCTCAGACAGGGAGTGAGTATCTGAGGTCTTCTGTGTCTCGTCAACTTCTTCCATTTGTTTTCTCCCCACAGGCACCTCACTAGTTCAGCATCTGATGACAGTGCTGATAAGTGAACAGGGGAGAATCTTTGCTGTTCCTCAGGCAGATGTGCCAGGGAGCCAACTGGAAATCAGACCTGTGCCTCAGCGCAGTACTGTGGAGTGGATCTCGGAGGAAGACGGGGAGGACAGCAGGGTGCAGAACAGCGTTCCCAGCCCCACTGATTTGCCTTCTAGCAATGCTGTGGCACTAGATGCCACTCCTGGACCTGCAGTGAAAAACACTCCTTCAGAGCACAGTGGCAAATTGACTCAGCCTGCCACCAGCCCCAACAAGAGAGTGCAGACACTGCCTCCGTGGAAATACTCCTTCCGCCAGCAGGGAGCACGGTCTGCGAGTCCAAAGCTGGGCAGCTCGTCCTTAGATATCCCCAACCTCTCCTCTAGTGGGAACTGGTTGATGAATGGACTGTACTCTCTCCGAGGCCATCGCCGGACAGCCTCTGGGGAGCGAGTTAAAGACTCCTGTTCTTCCCAGAGACTCTCCACTTATGACAATGTCCCCTCGTCCAGCCTCTCCCTTAGCACACACAGTATGGCCAGCACCACATGGTCTACATCATCATGTGAAATCTCCGTGGTGGACTCCGTCAGCAGCTGCCCAGCCTGCCGGGCCAGTGACTCTTCTGCTTTAAGCTCTCTCAAAACCGAGTGGGTAACTCAGGGCTCACTGTCCCAGAGTGACGTTAAGACTGCAGATCTGGAGAACAGCATCGACAGGTTTGAAGAATGCAGCAGCAACAGCAGTGAACAGAGCAACCTGGCTGCAGCTTCCAGAGACTCTGCCAAATGCTCCAGGGCCTTGCAGAGCTTGGTGGTGGAGCTAAAGACAGAACTGAGCAAACAGAGGACTGAGTATGAGACTAGTATCAAAAGGTAATGTCATCTGCAGGGGGGACAAGGAAGTTGTCTGTCAGCATTACCCCTGTTTGAACATGGGTGTGGGCTACCAAGCGTATCAGGTTCTCAGACCTGGAGTTTGGGTTCAGGAGATAGCAGATTTGGTTCTGTTCTTTCCTCACTGCTCTCTGAATCAAACTTTTGTCTCACTGATCTAAGAGAGGATAAAAAAAATGGGACTTCCACCACATAGGGAATTCCAATATTTCACACTCTATGTTTTCACTGGAAATCATAACTGCACAGGTAATGCCAAAGTCTGCTCTTTGTCAGTGTCCTGGGAGAAACAGCAAAGCAAACATCTTGGAGGGAGGGATAGGGACCCAGGGTGGTCAGGCCTCACCAAGGAATTCTGTTGGTCTGTGCAGTGCCGAGATTTGTACTAAATCAGTCAGAATTTGAGGGCTTCTTGCTGCTTTTCCCAACAAACATTCATCAGGAAACTGATCATCTTGACTATTCTCCGGGGGTTTTTTGGTGGTGGTGGTGTTGGGACTGCATGTCAGCTACAACTTTTTCAGCAGTCCTTTTGTGTTGAACTTACTTCTAAAAACCTTGCTTTTGATTGTTGACGTACTTCTAGTGGTCCTTTGCACATCTGGCCAGCCACTGTCTCAAAGGAACAGCAAGGTGCTGCTTGTAAGCCGATAGGTGAGCTGTGCAGTTTCTTGCCCACTCTGATGTGTATTTGCACAACTGCTGGTGCTGTACTTTAGATCTGTGCTCAGAAAAATTCCTTCCAGTTTTCAGGAGAGATCTGTGTGAGGGCATGGGCTGTAGGAAGTACTAACTATGAGGTCACATTTATTTGTGTGAGTTAGTGTATTAGGTTTTATGAGTGTTAAGTGCTTGAGAGAAGGGACTTTTAGGCAAGTACTCAGGGAAATATGCACATGAAATATTGTTGCTTAAAAGAATTAGATATGTTTTAATATACAGCCATATGCAAAGTTGCACACCATATTATAATCCAGAGAACTGGCATTGGCCTGGGCTCTGCAGCACTGCTACTTGCCCTGAAAAAGGGCTGTGGCTGTAGTCCCATTTCTTACTAGTAGTTGAGTTCTCAGCTTGCTTTGTGTTGTTAGTGTTATACTTCTTCAATTATTAAAACTCTTGTAACACTTACCTGCCTCAATTTTCAATCAGTCTCCCAAACGTGGTACCAAAAGCACATATGACTATTCCTAGGGATTGTATAGCATAGCTTTAGGCTATGTTTATTGCCTCTTTTTTTTTCTTGTTAATTTCTCAAAAATGTATCTGAACTGTGATCTCTTCCAGCAGGCTAGCTGTTAAGGTAGGAATTTCACTTGCTACCTTCCTGCTTTACTTTATGATTTCCTATGGTGGTGGCTTGCCAGCCTCTGCAGCTTTTCTGCCTCTTGCATTGCACTGCCCTGGTATGTGAAGCTGGAACGAGAGTCAGGCCACTTGGCAGTTTCTATTCCTGCTTAACATCAGAGTGGCAGAAAAACTTACCTCAGGTTTGTTGTGTTTCAGGTAGAAGAGCTGATGAGAGTTAATCATGGTGTGTTGGAAAAGGTCTATGAGTAAGCTCATGGCTTACTTGTTTGTTGGTTTTTGTTTTGGTTTTTTATTAGCTGCCCTACTGATTCAGAATGGGAGGGAAATGAGGGTATGTGCCTTGCATTTAATGCTGCAGAGCTGCCCTGGCAAGCCTTGTTGCAGCGATCCAGATTAAGAAACACAAAGGCGACCAAACTGCAAAACTTGTAAATGTGTATCTGCATATTTTTACCTGCTGCCTGGGGGGAGAGATCGCTTTCCACCTCTTACCAGTGAAACTGTTCCAACAGGGCCTTCAGCTGTTGACATCAGGGACATCCAGGAACACCTCTTCTTCATTCCAGCTGTTGAGCAGTTTCAGCTGCTTCAGCTCTAACACTTGCCTTTCCCCTTCAGCTGGACAGGGACAGAGAACAGTGTGGCTGCAGGGAAGGGCTATAAATTGGTCGGGTCTCACAGGACAATGCAACTCAGAGGAAAATACCTAATGAACTAACTTTCATCACTCAGTCGCTGAGATAAGCGGCTTTGGAGCCGACTCAGCTCCGACAGACTGACTGATCGTGAGGCAACAGACCCAATGATCACGAGGCACAGGGGGGGTTTTCGGGAGATTCCTTCAACAGGAAAACCCCGAGACAGCTGCGCAACCCGAATCCCGCTGACAGCTCTCTTGCAAGAGGCTGGCATGGCGCGGGAGTTGCCAGGGCAATGGTGACCACAGCCCCCTCCCAGTCCTTAAATTCGTATCAGAACCACAGAGAGCAGGCAGCGCGGGTGTGCCACCCGCAACACGCTGCAACAGCAGCAGCAGCAGCAGAGGAGGTGGCTCGGATAGTGGGACGGTGAACTTCTGCCGGGTCCAGAAGCCTCATAAGGCAGCCGCAGGAGCAGAGCGAGCAGGCAGGGTTCCTCTGAGAAAGAGGGAAGAACTAAAGACCAGGAAAAGCATGGACATCCTACCTGACCCTCCAGTCAAAATGGCAGGCACTCGTCTTAAAGCTAAGGCTGCAGCTCTGGCTAAGGGGTCTGCTCCATCTTCCCCTGGGATGGCCAATTCCTCCACACAGAGCTTCGTGCGGCAGAGACAACCATACAGACCTTGGTGTGTGTGAGGTGCCAAAACTGCTCTCCTGGGGTAGGGATGGGAGACAAACCATCCTGCAACAGGTGTGCCCAGGTGGACCAGCTTCTAGAACAGGTGGACAAATTGCAGGAGGAAGTGGCAAGATTGAGGAGTATCAGGGAGTGTGAGCAGGAGATAGACTGGTGGAGCTGCACCCTACCATCCCTGAGGCAAAGGCAGGAGACAGAGGCTCCACAAGAAGCAGAGGATCCCCTCCCCCCTTGCCAGCAGGTCAAAGGAAGGGACCTAAGAGAACGGGGAGAATGGAAACAGGGCCCAGCCCGGGGGGGCAGGCAAATCCCCT